CTTTTCAGAGCGTTTACAATGTCGAAATTCACTTCCATAGCGAAGGCGTTTCTTTTCTTTTCTTTTATTCGAAGCACCGCCATCAGAAAAGGCTACATACGCTTGGCAGCCATCATGAGGGGAAATAAGTTTCTATAAACACAACACAAACGAACGAGGACAAATGCACAACAATCCAATATGGCGTACAACTAAGAACAGACGATAATGTAGGAGGCAAACGGTATAAATCGAAACAAGATTAATGCAGATGCGCCGAAACGACGAATGGTCGCTGGTCGGCAATACCGCAACCCTGGGACGTTTTCATTTCACCACAAGCAAAGCAAGACACAAAGGGTTATTGAGTAAGAAAGAATAAGAAAAAGAAAACATTATTGAAGGCGAGAAAAATAAAAGATGAAAAACCAACAAAACAGTAGATATCGATTGACATTGCATTTAAATTTTTGAGAATCAAAACTGTCCGGGAAGCAAAAAGCCGGAAGAGAGTTCCACAGGCGATCAGTGCGAGAAAAAACTTTTATTAAAGAACATACGGTTACAGCTATCCATTTCAACTGCAAAAGGATGAGACCTTGTTGGCAATCTAGTAAGTTCATAAGATCTAGGTACCTGTAAGCGATCTGGGATTGCAAAGGAAATATTTGTCGCAGATTACTTCCACAACGAAGAGAATAAATCACTAAGTTCAGACTTGAACATCGGGAGCAGACAGAAATGCCGTAGATTCGATTCGCAGGTACTATCTCATAATTCCCAATGCACGGAACCAGTCAGAAAAATAACTCACTCTCCGACAAACGCGGTAGCCAAAATACACGAATTTTTCCACCTCGATTCGAGAACACTAACTGCTTGTATCGGCCGAGAATTTTTTTCATTCGTCGACAACTGGGAGAGGACGCCCAATTTTTGCATATCAAAATACTTTCATAGAGACTCCTGCGACGGACTTGTTTTTAATCTAAATATTCCGTCTTCAGCATGTCATGCGGAATACGTGCCCCTTTTTTGATCTTTTCTTTTTAAGTGATTTTCTTTTTCGCCACATTTTCCATTGTATGGTACACGTGACGCGCTGTAGCTTGGTTTGACGAGGTAAGTCACCGCTTTCTTCGCTATAGTACCAAAGAGGAAAGTTCATCAGAATAATTACCATGAACATACTTATCAGATTAAGAAACTGTTAGCATAGAACTTATGGATACATCTAGCCATTTCAACTGTAAAATGATGAGACCTAGCTGCCAATCTAGTACTGCACTTAAATTCATAAAATCTAGGTACCATAGAGCGCGGGTCATCAGGACAATTACCATAAAATTATTTAGAGAAAAGGCGCAGGGAAGCTTTGTTCATGCCTTTGCATTTACAGATGAATCAAACTCTGACGCTCCATCCCAATTTTTCATTATTAGATTTGTCAACAATGCCATACTATTTGAAAGTTATTACCGCCAAAGGAAATTTATTGACTATCAAAAATATTGAAACAATTTAACCCTGAGCAATGAACACACAAGAAGGTTTTAACAATGGAATCCCTTTATTAAGAACAACCAAACACTTGCGATTGAGTGTGTGTGGGGTGTGTAGCTTAGTATACCAACGGATGATGCATGCAAGCAGGGACGCAGGCAGACACTTTTAGACAGGGGTGCTGTTATACAATTGCAGTCATGTACACCCGGACAGTATATATATATATATATATATATATATATATATATATATATATATGTATGTATGTATGCATATATAAAAGTTAACTTCCTTGACATAACATTAGATTTAATGAAAAATGTATACATACCTTATAAAAAAAAACAATACTAATCATTTGTATATACACCCTAAATCTAATTATCTTCCATCTATAATTAAGCATATACCTTCATTTATCAAAAAGAGAAAAAAGTACAAATTCAGCAAAGGAGACGATTTTCTTTAAACATATTAATTTCTATAAAAAAGCTATAAAAGATAGTGACTACAAAAGCCCAAAACTAACTTATAAAAAAAGGAAAATGGAAAGCATAGAAAAACAGAAGTCGAAAAATAATTTGTCATACACTCCCATAAAACCAAATGGTAAAGAATAAATTAGGACAAAAATTCCTTGCATTAATCGTTAAGCCCTTTCCTAAAGATAGTAAACTAAGTACTATTTTCAATAAAATTAAGTTAAAGCTGTACTGAAAACTTAGAAAAACTTATTAAGAAACATAATGCTAATATCTTGAATAAACACTTAGACCAAAACCAAAAAAATTTAGACAATATAAAAATAAAGAGATGAAGATAAACAAAAATTATGTAACTTTAGAAATCCTCATAACTGTCCTCTACAAAATAAATGTCGCACGGAATCATTAGTATACTAATGCAATATCTTATCTATTGAGAATCCCGAAAACATAAAAATCTATATAGGTTGCTCAAGCCATGAGTTCAAAAAAAGATTCAATCAACATGAAAGTTCATTTAGGATGAATAAATACCGAAATCAGACGTCCCTATCGAAATATTTCTGGCACTTAAAAGAAACCAATAAATCACCTACAGTAAAATGGAAATTAATAAGAAAAGCTAGAACATGTAGGTCATAAATGACCCATGTCTTTTGTGCATACATGAGAAACTATATATTACTAAGTTTATAAAAAATAAAAAATTTACTGAATCAAAGAAATGAAATAGCTATTCTTTGACGACATTGTCAAAATTTTTCATTAAATATTATTTAAATATAATAAAAAAAAAGAAAAATGGCAGCTGGTAATATACATACTTATATTTGATATATAATGATAATTTTTAAATAATTTAACTAATTCTATTACATTTATTTGTTTTAAAAAGAAATATAGTCTATTAGTAATTAAAAGTAAAAATAATATTTTAAAATTGTAGTTCAATATAACGTATTCTAACCCAAACACCCCTTTTAGAAAGAATCTTTATGTATACAAGTACGAATTTAACGAATTTAAAATGCAGAAAAACTTTTCCTCGTTGATAAAAAAGAAAAAAAAACAGACGACAAGCGTTGAACAGATGTCAAAATTCGTTGAAAAATGCACCCTACCCTACCTAAACTTAACCTCTTTTTTGAATGTAACTCATAATTGATACAATAATAGTTGATAAAGTGAACACGCTACCGCCCCTGTCTAAATGATTGGATTTCTCTGTATCCTTGGAAACAAAAAAAATATGAATTGTATAAAATTCAGTAAATTTAAAAATAAGTTATTCCAAAATTCGCTTGAAGATCAAATGGAAGTAATACTTTTAATTTAATTATATAATTAAATTTGAAGTTTTTAGCTTCAGTTTTTGAAACGTGGTAATTACTGTGTAGCGAAAAAAAAAACATATTTTAAATCAGTTAATTTATTATATTTATGCTCTGTAAATTTACATTGAGCACTGTTTTGTAAAAGTAAAAATAAAAAATCAATAAGAACACCGGATTATATTGTCTTACTGTTCTTTCTTTTTATTATAATATATATATATATATATATATATATATATATATATATATATATATATATATATATATAGATAGATAGATAGATAGATAGATATAGAAAATAACGCTCAGAACGAAAATACAATAATTGCTCGGTTCGTTGCTAGGTAAGTTGTTTCCTGATGTCGTGTAAAACATTTTTTCTCTCCAGAATCTATCTTATATACCTATAAGTCTACCATTCGTTCATGCTTCAAATATTTCTAACAAATATATTCTGGTGCACGTACTATATGTTTAGAGATTCTTGATAAAATAGAAGTATCCGTAATGTTATTGGTCATGACCTGGCATCCTAGCTTCAATCACTTCCCTACCACCGTAACATAGCTTCCCTGGGCCTTTTCTATGAATATTTTCATGGTAATTGTTCTGATGAACTTTGCTCTATGCTACCTATACTTTATGAATTTAAGCGCGGTACTAGATTGGCAGCTAGGTCTTATTATTTTACAGTTGAAATGGATAGCTGTAACCGTAACTTATTTAATAACGGTTTTTTCTCGCACTTATCGCATGTGAAACTCTCTTCTGGCTTACATCGTCAGATCTCAGACGTGTGCTTAGCTCTTAGTACTGCCTTGTCGGAAGGGTTGTAGAATATGCCAACTGCACACAGTGTAGTGTGGCAAAACCTCCCAAAAGGGGCCATCTCCCAGGTGCATGTCCGAAGACACAAGTGTGATCAATTTTTCATATGGAAGCATTTATAACCCCAACCAATATTTACCTATAGGCTCAACTAAAAACACGATCTACTCACTCGAGTTTAAAAACGAGCCACAAACTCAAGTATAAACACAACCAATATTTATCGATATGCAAGCATAAGGCCAACCAATGTAAAATCTAGTATAAACCCGGACATTATTTACATATAGTCTCAAGTATAAACAAAACCAATGCTTACCTCTAGACTCAAGTAAAAACACGATCAATATTTACCTTCAGACTCAAGTGTGAATAATGTCATTATTTATCTATAAACTCAAGTAGTAACACGACCTACAAACTCAAGTAGAAACACAACCAATATTTATTGATAGGCAAGCCTATATAAGACAAATGTTTGCCTATAGACTAAAGTATAAACACTTTCAATATTTACCTACAGACTCAAGTATAAAAATGATCAATGTCTACCTTTTACAGGTCATGTACAGTAAAGGCATAATAGTAATTAGTAGCAAAAAAGAAAAACAAAATGGATGTCATTTGTTCCAGGCAAATTTCCAACGAAAGTATCACATGAAAGGAGAAAAATATTTCTCGGGGAAAATCGTTTTGTAAAACTGCTTTCTCAAAGCACACAGAGTTTTTTTTTTTTTTTTTTTTTTCTAAAAGAGAAATTGTCATCCAACACTGAATAACGTTGTTTCGACAAAGATCGTCCATATAACTGAATAGCCAGAAAGTGACTCTTTCCCCAACACGAAAAAGAAATTACGTTAAAAACCATCTAACGGTTCAAATAATTAGGCAAACTAAGTTTGATGGCATAGCCATGCATAACGAGAAAATAGATAACTCTACACACTGATATAGATAAATAGATAGATAGGAAGAGACTGAGAAAGAAGGAAAAAAGAAAGAAAGAGGAAAGAAAGAAAGAGGAAAGAAAGAAATGAAAAACCTTAGATAGATAGATAGATAGATAGATAGATAGATAGATAGATAGAAATGAAAAACTTAGATAGATATAGATAGGAAAAGACTGAGAAGGAAAAAAAACTTTAGATGGATAGATAGTTCGGAAAGTAATTAAGTTTGTTTAATCATTTCATCCCAAGCAAGGCAATAAAGCTACTAGGACGCAAAGGGTTATTGAGTGTTAGAGAGTGTAAGAAAAAAAAAGAAAACATTATTAAGGGGAACAATAAAAGAACAAGAAACCAGAAGATTGCATTTAAATTTTTGAAGATCGAAATTTACTGGGAGCCCAGAAGCCGGAAGTGAGTTCCACTGCAATAGAAGAAACTGTTAGCATAGAACTTACGGTTACATATAGTTATTTCAAATGTAAAATGATGAGAACGTACCCCCAAGTCTAGGTACCATAGAGGAAAGCTCATCAGAAAAATTACCATGAAAGTATTTTGTAGAAAAGGCACATTACGGTGGCTGAGCAATAAATCTAGCTAAGATGAAAGATCAGGACCGATAGCATTGCAGATTCTTCTTTGGAATTTATCAAAAGTCTCTAAATATATAGCAGAAGCTCCAGACCAGATGTGGCAGCAAAATTCCCTGCATGGACGAATGGTAAACTTATAAAAGTGTAAGACAGATTCTGGCGAGAAAAATTGTCTAGCCCAACTCAGTGAACTAACTTTTCTAAGAGAAGTCTTAGCAATTGATTCAATAGAAATTATTCACTTCACATCAGCGTAAAACATTTGCCCGAGAAGGTGCAAGGAGTCACTCTGTTTCCAAATAAACGTTAACCTACAAAAATTTAAATGCAAAGAGAGTCATTATTTTCTGTCTTCTTAATTCTTGCTCTTTTATTGTCCTCTCTCCTTCATAGTGTTTTGTTTTATCTCCAAGGATCAGAGACTTATCCATTGTTTCTTGTTTATAATTGGGTTTCTGGTTCCTTCTAAAATCTTTTTCATTCTCTTTCACTCTCGATAGGCCCTTGTATCTTAGCGACATTATCGATTTGCTTCTTTTTTTCCTTAATTATATATATATATATATATATATATATATATATATATATATATATTACAATGAATCATTCATACAAAAAGTAAATTAGTAAAGTTAATGATATAAAATGGCGAAATCCCTTCGCTAACAAAATTTTTAAAGATGCATTAACCCACTAATCACTCGATGAATGTTATGATTCTTGTTTTTTTTTTTTAAATTATAAGCTGTATAAGGTCTTTCTTAAATACGCAAGTACTTTCGACTGTAGGTTCATCATCAAATATTTTATATTATAAAAAATATTCTGCTTCTTAATTTACTTTCATTTTTCTTGTGTTTTTTTCTTGTTTCTTTTTTTTTTCTTTTTCTTTAATTTTTTCTTATAATTTTCTTTTTTGTTTTTCTTATAATTTTTCTTGTGTTCTTATAATTTTTTGTCTTATAATTTTTTTCTTGTGTTCTTATAATTTTTTCTTGTGTTCTTTTTCTTGTTTTTCTTTTGTTCTTATAATTTTTTCTTGTTTCTTATAATTTTTCTTGTGTTTTATAATTTTTTTTTCTATGTTTCTTATAATTTTTCTTGTGTTCTTATAATTTTTCTTGTGTTCTTATAATTTTTCTTGTGTTCTTATAATTTTTCTTGTGTTCTTATAATTTTTCTTGTGTTCTTATAATTTTTCTTGTGTTCTTATAATTTTTTTTTCTTTTCTTAAATTTTTTGTGTTTTTTTTCTTTCTTTTATAATTTTTTTGTTTCTTATTTTTTATTATATAATTTTTCTTGTGTTCTTATAATTTTTTGTGTTCTTATAATTTTCTTGTGTTCTTATATTCTTATAATTTTTCTTGTGTTCTTATAATAATTTTTTCTTATTGTTCTTATTCTTTTTCTTATAATTTTTCTTGTGTTCTTATAATTTTTTTCTTGTTGTGTTCTTTCTTAATTTTTAATTTTTCTTGTTTATTAAATTTTTCTTGTGTTCTTATAATTTTTTCTTTTTTCTTATAATTTTTGTTTCTTATAATTTTCAAGAGATTTCTTTGTTCTAATTGTTTCAAAATTATTTTTAAAGTATTTTCCGACTTTTTGCCATTCTTGTGAGGCTCCATGTACTTTTTTTTTTCTTGTGTCTGTTTTTTCTTGTGTTTTCCATTTTTCTTGTGGATAATTTTCTTTATAAATTTCTGTGTTCACGATTTTTCTTGTGTTCTTTTTTTCTTGTGTTTCTTATAATTTTCTTGTTTCTTATGAAGGTTTCGTACATGGTTTTTTTTTCTTTATTTTGCCATTCTTTGATATCATTGGTTTCTGTTTTTTTCCATAACCTAAAAAATTGATAGCACTATGAGGTTTAGTTGCAGGACTAAATTGAAATTGCAGGAAGATAAAACAATACAGTTTACGAAAAAATACACAGAGATTGACAATGAATTATTGATAGAAATAAGAAAAACTATGCGTCAAAGAAACTCACCAATTCCTAATAGAATTATGGGAGTCAAAAGGCAAAGAAGTGGAGGAAGAATCCTGGAATATTTTGGAAAGAAAAACAACCTGGCTAAAAACATTTCCAAGTAAGAAAACATCGGATAATTTAAAAAAAAAACTTTGAAACCACCTTCTGTCTTTTCGTGGGCATGTGTAGACATGGCAACATCAACAAAGCCCAGTCCGATGAAATCCTAACGTTTCTAACAAAAGCACATATACACACGCACACAATACACAAAATCGGAGAAAGGTTTTAAAAAAAGAGAGGTTGTTAAAAATAAGAACAAAGAGCTCGTTCTTTCCACCTTTCTTTGACAAATCCTAATTGTTTTATTGCTCCTTAATTTGAGGAACATTTTTTCCACCAGTCCAAGAAGAATTTGGATTACTACGACACGCAAAAGACAATGGTTAAATATAGAAAAACATTTAAAAAAAATGAATTCCTTTAAATAATATGCGGAAATAACCATTCTTAATCTGGCCACAAGACCTGAAACACGCGTCACAAAAAATATGGAAAATAAAGAAATATTCAATACAAAATAATAAAAAAATAAAAATCAACATTATAACCAAAAACATTTTGCATTTCTTTTTCTTTAAAATATATATTTTTTTATCGTTGGATACTTTAATCTCTCCCATATATATATATATATATATATATATATATATATATATATATATATATATATATATATATATATATATATATAAATAAATAGTTTAAAAGTGTGCTATATTTATGGGATAAAATTGCTCAATATCAGAGATAAAAGCGTATGTAAATATAAATATAAAAGTGAACATTGAAGTCAATACTCAAATAGCGACAGGCTGTTTCATGCTAGACGCATTCGTCAGGCGGCCTGACGATTGCGTCTAGCATGAAAAAATGAATTCATTTTTATATATATATGTATAGTTATATATATATATATATATATATATATATTATATATGTAGTTAAATTTATATATATAGTTATATTATAGTTATATAATATAGTTATATAAAGTTATATATATATATATATATATATATATATAGTTAAATTTCCCAGAATAATTCAGAATATAAGATAAATTGGTTTTAAAATGAGAACTGGAAAAAATTCTTAATTCTTGCCGGCAAGTTTCGTCTTCCGACTTTATCAAGGCAAACAATGAAAGTGAAATGTTTTGTTGTCATACTTACATCAAATCCAAAAACTTACGTCTGTAAGAACTAAGGAGAATTTTTCTAGTTGTCATTTTTAAACCAATTTGTCATATCTTCAAATTTATTCTGGGAAAATTAAAATATATATATATATATATATATATATATATATATATATATATATATAAATAAATTTTCCTTGATATAACACTAGATTTAAAAGTAAAATACTTACACACCTTATAAAAAAACAATACTAATCCTTTATATATACACCGTAAATCAAATCACCCTCCATCTATAATTAAGTATATACCTTTATCTATCCGAAAAAGAATAATTACAAATTCAGCAAATGACAAGATTTTCGATGAAGATATTAATTTCTATAATAAAACTCTAAAAGAGAGTGGCTACAAACACCCAAAACTAACTTATACTAAAAATGAAAATGGAAAGCATAGAAAAACAGAAGTAGAAAAATAATTTGGTATACGCCCCCATACAACCAAACGGTAAAGAACAAATTAGGACAAAAATTCCTCGCATTAAGAGACAAGCATTTTCCTAGTGAAAGTAAACTAAGTACTATTTTCAATAAAAATACACTAAAATTAAGTTACAGCTGTATTGAAAGCTTAAAAAAAATTATTAAGAAACATAATGTTAATATCTTAAATAAACACTTATACCAAAACACAAAAAATTTTAGACAATGGAAAAATAAAAATAAAAGCTGATGAGGATAAACAAAGATTATGTAACTGTAGAAACCCTCATAACTGTCCCCTACAAAATAAATGTCGCACGGAATCATTAATATACCAATGCAATATTTCTTCGATTTAAAATCCTGAAAACATAAAAATATATATCGGTTGCACAGTTCATTTAGTATAAATAAATATAAAAATCAAACATCTCTCTCAAAGTACTTCTGGCACCTAAAAGAATCCAATAAAACACGTACAGTAAAATGAAAGTTAATAAGAAAAGCTAGAATATGTAGGTCATTAAATGACCCATGTCCATTGTTCATACATGAGAAACTATATATTACTAAGTTTATAAAAAATAATTTTATATACTGTAAGAAATTCTATTACATTTACTTGTTTTATATATATATATATATATATATATATATATAAAGAAAAAATATAGTCTATTAAAATTAACAGTGAAAATATTTTAAAATTGTTTTTTAAAATTGTAATTAAATAAAAACGTATTCTAACCCAAACACCTCTCTCAAAGTAATACAAGCATTTAAAAGAATCCAGTAAAACACCTACAGTAAAATGGAATTAATATGAAAAGCTAGAATATGTAGGCCATTAAATGACCCATGTCCTTTGTACATACATGAGAAATTATATATTGCTAAGTTTATAAAAAATAAAA